ATCCAGCTGGAAATCAAGGCACAGCAGAAATGCAGGCTAGGGCCCATTTGAAGAGAAATGGGATTTTATATGACACCTGAGTAACAGAAACTGCTCTACTTCGATTGCATCATTCATTTTCATATATAAGACAGTTGAAGCCTAGATTTTCATAATGTAAGTTAAGCTGAGGAAAAAATTCAAATCAGCAGGCACTGAAACCTCAGCCCATGCTGGGTAATTTGTCTGAGCTCCTGGGAGCCTCTGTCTGAGCTCCTGCAGTGAGCAGCATCGATTGCACTGACAACTGAAATTCCTGGGAGTCTTGTGGAAGTCCCTGAGGGCTTCAGAGTTCAGCCCCTCCCAAAGCCTGAGATTAGGAGCGGTGCCCATTTCGCATAAAAGACCCATTGCTTTTATTTTTTAGATTAGATGTTGCCCCACAGTTTATTCTGTTTCAGTTAATTCATCCCCAATCCAAATTTCTCATCTTCTCAAGTTTCATGACCCTGAAAAGTAATTTGTTAGCACTCCCTGTTTTTGGTGACATTGTCCTTCAGACCACCAATGTTTTCTGCCAGGAACTGTCCTTGCAATGCAAGAATGTGGCTTCGCTGGTGTACTGAACAGCACTAATATGCTGAGTATGTTCATCAGTTTATCAACAGTCTGTCTGTTTTGAAGAAACTCAGCAGCCTCTCCTGAAGTTTTCTTTCAGGCTTCATCTCTTCTCTTTGCTTCAGTGCTGTTAATTCAAATGCCAGTGGTGTTGGCAGCAGTCTGATCTCATAGAATCTTGTATGGGTTGAATCTTGTATGGGTTTTCCAGGCAGATACGAGCTGTTCTTGTCTGTTCTCCAAGCTAGCTGGTTGTGAGCTTGCTGAAAACAAGGTTATGCGCAAGGTGCTAGGAGCTAATGCACTTTGCTCTCCACAAAGTTCATTCATGTCTATGTGGAGTGCTGGCAGAGCCTGCCTGTGAAAGCCATAAACACACCTTTTAAAGACTACATCACTCTGGATAAGTCCTAATTATGACATGCTTGAAAGTGCTAGGAGCTTTTTACAAGCACCAAAACAGACGTAATTAGTTACAACAAAAATATATTACTGGAAATATTTTTCAGCATCCCTGGACTTTAAACCTGTTGTATAAAACAAAGAGCCAGAAACAAGAATGAAACTGGTATCTAACTTTTCTTTCCTTATGAGATGATGCAGCTGACTTGCTACTTCTTTTTAGTACTGTTTTAATGACTAGATAATGGTTGAGCAAAGAGAGTTAAAATCCTGACAGTGAGTGCTAGATGGAGAATTAATTTAGAAAGAAATGGAAGCAGCTTCTCTTTCAAAATGGTTGTCTGACAGTGTTGCATCTGGCAAAATTGTTTTTTGTTTTTTTTGAGAGAGAGAGGACACAGCGTTTGATGGCTTTTCTAGTTTGTTAATGGCAGACTTTGAAAGTATTAAAAGTAATGAGGTGCAGCTTTCCACTGAAGAGGCAAAACAAAGTGATTGACATATGTCTACATCGTATATACTAACTCCCGTGAATTAAGTGTTGCCTCTAGATCTTGGCGAATTCATTTTGCCTAACTGAGAGTTGTCTTTGGTTTGAAAACTTGGGGTTTTTTTTGTCTTTGTTGCTATTGATGTTCCTCTAAGGAAGAACTGAAAGAGGAGGATTGAAAAAGGGGAAGAGAGCGCTTTATATAAGCACCGAAAGTCAGACTGTTGTCTTTTTATAGTGGTGGTAGTTTGTGGCAACACTACCAACACCAGCGTGTTCGTCTGGAATCTCAATGCCATAGATGTGCCAACTGCTTGCTTAACGTGTCAGTTTTGTTAATGTCACTTGTGTTTAAGGCTTTCCTTTATTGAATAACAGCATAGCAACGATAGGACCAACACTTACAAAATGTGATCTTTTGGTGAAGCTCAAAGAAAAACTTGAAAGAACATCAAATCCCTTCCAGGGCAGAGACTCGCCTGGAAGAACACAAGAGTAACTTCAGTCATTCTCTGCACCTGATAGAGGTGAAAAAGAGTGGAGGGGGATATTGTATTGCCATAGCAGCACCAGAGAGCACAGGAAGGGATTGTGCACAAGGTGATCTTGGATTCAAACTGAATCTTTCTTCCTTTTATCCCTTTTCAGAGTACGGTGGTAAGTGGAAACTACTCCATTATTTTGCCCAGAACTTCTTTGCACCACTGCTGCCTGTGGCCTATGAAGACAAAGGTGTGTTGTACATTTATGGTGTCTCAGATCTTCATGAGGACCACAAGCTGACTTTGAGGGTAAGTCACACCTCTCTTGCCACTCCTGCAAAAATGTGAGACGTTTAAATGAGCTAATCTTCTTATAGACAAGCTTCAGTAAGTCCACAACAAGGTACAATTCTTGTCTTTAATCTTTAGGGACAACACTGTCCTTTATTATAGTAGTGTGTATTGCTTCACAGAACAAGGAATGAATTGTCTTGCTTGTAGGTATAGGCCTGAAATTAACTATTCTGTTGAAATCTTAAAGGGGTTGGCGATTAAATAGAACAAAGTTTGAAAAATGGTGCCTCGTGACTTAACAAAACTGTTCCCTGATTGTTAGAACTAGATTAACTGACGAAGTTGGGGTGGGGAGGAAAGGATTGTACCGTTGCTTGCCAGTACTCAAACTACACTGCTTTGGGAAAAAGAACTAGATTATTTTCTGAAATATCAACAGAACATCTAGGTGTACTTTAATTGCAAGGTCACCTGTGCAATGTCACCATTTCACAATTGATACTTTAACTGTTCTCTGATAATGCTATAGAAACTGATAGGATTTCTGAGTCAGTATTTGGGCTGCTGAGTTGTCCTGTAGAACAGTCTTGCTTTTCAAATAGTGACATTTTGTTGCTGTTAATCATGTGGCAGTCACATCCCAAATGAATTCAGGGGCCCTTTTGCACTGCGAGTTACAATTGCTGACATAAAGGGCGTCCCATGTGAAAAGGCTGCGAAGGATGGAAAAATAGAACTAGAGACCTGGAATGACTCACTAGTCATTTTGAAATCCTCATTAGTGGTATGAATATGTCAGTTCCTAGTTCATTGCTCTGTCTGGTGGGCTGCCATGAATTTTCAGATTTAGAAGGTTCCTTATATATAGTAATATATAGTATAGAAAATGGCTGCAATTTCTGGATAGTCAGTTCCTAGGGTAGGACTGTACTTAATGAAATTGTTTATTTCTGATCTGAGTTATTGTAACGGGCTTAAACTCAGATCTTCTGATAACGTCAGAGAAGCATTGGCAGTAGGGTAGTTCTGATGAATACTGTATTGTGCACTTAAAGAGAATTTGGAACTTAAAACTTTTGAAGGGAGTTAAGATCTGTTCCTGACTGCAGACCCCTGTTAAGGTCAAAAATAACCTAAAAGATATGAAGAGGTAGAACGCTGTCATTCTCAGTAAGTGCCTATCTTCCAAATTATGCACTTCAAATATTTTTTTTTTTAAATTTAAGATAATGATGCATTCATAATACATGCATGATCTCTGGGAATATATATTTTACTGTATTAATATAACTTCCATAATCCCTTTTAAGATGATATAGCTTGCTTCTGTTCTGTTTAACAGTGATTGTGCAGAAGCTCTAGATTACTCGGTTGGGTTACATCAGATAACACTGAGCAATCTCAAGAAAATCCTTTGTTTGACGTTTTTCAATTGGGGAGGGAGGGAGGAAAAAGAGTCAACAAATTAGTCACTTACTAATTCCATTTCCCAGCACTCCCTTGGCAGGAATTGGCAACCCACTCCTCTGAAGGAGCCTGGAGGAAACACCAAACCTTTGCAGATCAAGTAGAACAACAGATCTAGACTGTTTGAAACTGACTTCTTGTTTGGTTTATATAATGATCTAATTATTATGCACTATTGACAGTTTAAATCTGTGGAGTTTCTTGCTAGGCAGAAATCGGCTGGTACTGTCAGGAGAACATCTCTTGCAATGGGTAATCTGAAACCTAGGATGCTGGGTTATCTTCACAGATGTAACTTTTCTTCTAAGCTTTATGTTCTCTCAACATGCTTGATAGGTCTTTGTGCATGCCTGGAGTTCTTTGGAGCCAGTATGCACCCTTGCCAAAGACGATGTGACTGTTAAAGCACAAAGTGCTGTCCCCATCTACAAGGAGTCCATAAATGACTTGCTGGAAAGATGCAGAAATTGTACCAGGAAAAGCTGCGTTATTACTTTCTGTCTTGTGGGAGAAGGTGGGCTCCAGAGCCCTATGAACCATCACTTCCTTTCATCTCTAAAGGATGCTGTAGGATTGGAAAAGACCCAGCTTAGTGTAAGCATAAGTCATGCTAAATGACTCTATTTAGTTTTGTTAATCTTGCTGGTTTGAGATTTTTTTGCCTGCAGTGCAGTGTCTTGATTCCAGTGAATGTTCTTTCTCCTTAGCTGTTGCAATTCTAGCTTCCACCTCGAGTTTAAAATCAGTTGTTTTTTTTTCCTGCATCACTATATGTATATCTAAATAACATTGGTGGGGTTTGATTGTTTTGTCTCTTTGTGTGTGTGTGTGTTTTATTTTTGTTGTTGTGGTGGTTTTTTGTGGTTTTTGGTTGGGTTTTATTTTGTTTTAAATAATGAAGCCTTTGTTTGATTTGTTTTGACTGTCTTTCACCTGACTGCTGTAGCATTGCTCCTTTCATTCTTTTTATCCCTAGATAGCAAATAGCATCGTGGCAAGTGTTTTGGCTTGCAGACAGCACTGTACCTTAGTACTAGGTGATGCTAGTCCAGCTGAGTGTGGAGTGCGTTATTGTCAGCAGCGTTTCCTCTTGGAGTGCTGACTCTCAGATCAGTGTACCATTGCTAACACACAATATTGCATGCTCCTTTCCTCCCTTTGCAAATCCCTGCCCTCCAGCTAAGGGTTCTGATTTGCATAATAGTGATTATTTCTTAATAGCTGGCAAGTGTGTCAGTCTTCTGAAGAGGCACAAAAGGCATCCATGTTGTATAACACCATCCTTTAGCGCATGTGCTGCTTTCCCTAGATTTTTTCCACTCCTAGCACGCCTGCTCCAAGTGTAGCGACCAAGCGTGCTCTGTGCCTGTGTACGCACACACGCATTTTGTTAAACCTCACTTCTTAGCATGTAAATCTTATTAAAAAAATCTTAATCAGCAAATTGGCAGGATGGAGACCTGTGTGTTCCCGCATTTGGCTTCCAAACTGCAGCTTTGCTCTTTAGAGCTAAGCTAAACAAGGGGGGAATAGAGGTCTGTAATCTCTTTGAATCTGGACCAGCATAATTGCTTTACAAAAAGAAAATGGGACAGATTTTCCCCTCTTATCTCTTTCATGGGAGCATGGCCTGCCTCCTGAGTATACAAAGGAAAGAAATCAGCCTGGTTTATTTTTTTTCAGCTGGTGGCACAATCTGGAGTCTGAGTCATGCTGGTTTTTTTGTGGATGACATCATCAATAACAAAAGCTCTACAACTGGAGCATCGTTGGGAAATTTCCTTTTTCCTATGGCTGTGTTGTCTGTGCAGTACAAACTAATAAGGATAGCTGGCAAGGATAAATGCACAGTGGTTATTTTAAGAAAGTACGCAGCTATGATTTAAAAAACCAATCTGTTTTGTGAGAAGCTGGTGCTTCTGTACATAGTTACTGATAAACTAACTAGACTTTCAAATACATTGTGCATCCAAGTGCTGCTCTTCATAGCATTGCTTTAAAAAACATGAAGGCTTCAGTGCTTTTCAGAAAAGACAAAATGTAAAGGATGTGTGCTTTTTCTTAAAAATGAATAGTGTTTTTCTTGTAAGTGGGATGTGACTTCTGCACTTAACATAATTTGTCTGCTTTTTATACATAGTTAATTGGTATTTGAAAATGATGTAGCATATTTAATGGCGATGAATGGGGAGTGCTGTATCACAGTGTATCCTGGTTGTGCTTTTAAGCCTCTCTGAGATTAACTACTGATAAAACTTGATATAAAACATTATAACTTGTCTTGATATTTCACAACATAGCTGCCTTCTAAATGCAGCTGTGCTGGTTTAACCACGGTAGGACCATGCAGTCCTGTACTCACTCCCCCCACCCGGTGAGATGAGATGGGATGGAAGTCACAACAAAGGGGGCGTGGATTAGGATAAGGGACTGGGACAGCTCACTCACCAGTTATGGCTGTGGGCAAAACAGACTCAACTGCCCTCAGGCTCAGCTTATCTGCTCCAGCATGGAGTCCTACATGGCCTACACGTGGGTCTCTGCTCTGCTGTTGAACTTCCATGGGCTACAGGGAACCTCCTTTGCCTTCTCCCACTCCATGCAGTCAACCAGGGTGTTTGAAGTTTTCTGTCCCCCCTCTCCTCCTCCTTCCTCCTGGTAACGAAGCTCTCTCTTTGTTTAGGCCAGTGGCTGTCTTCTGTTCAGGTCAGTGGCCTCTCCTGCAGGTTCTCTCCGCTTTCTTCTCAGGACAGTCCTTCCCCTCACAAATATGGATTCGCAGAGGTGTTTCTCTAGCGCTCATTGGCTCAGCCTGGGCTGAGGGGTCCCTGCCTTGGAGCCAGTGGAGCTTTTTGCTTTCACAAGGTGGCCCCTTCCCCCACTAAACCAGCCACCCTCTACCCCCCCCCCTCCAAACCCAACACAGTAGTGTAAGGACATTGCTGCCATGTTCCATTAAGATGAGGTGACCTCCTGTGTTCCTGTGATTTTTACCATCTTTTGCTTCTGTGTATTTGTATTACTGATTTAATGGGAAAGGCTGGCTGCTTTAGTAGTTGTGGATTTTTAGGTTGAGTGAAGTGTGTTGGTGAAAGGAAAAATCTTTCACTGCAGTGAGTGTAGGATACCAGTGCTAGGTGCAAGTCAAGTTACCGTTTATTTGGTTATCTTCATAAGAAGATGGTAGAATAGCAATGCTTCATGACCTTTCCCCACAGTCTGTGGGATTCTGTAGGAAGGATATAATAACATTTGCAGTTTTTGTATGATTTTTACGTATGAATACTGTTGGTTTGACCTTTTGCTCCAGAAGAGATTTCCATAAGAGAATAGTAATTTTGATCAAATGTGGTTGTTCAGTCTGTGGTACTGACATGGAGTACCCTTCCCAGTTTGGGTGTAACTGGGTTCTTATTTAACATGTATATTTTCATTCACTTATTTATTTCTTTCTCTTCCAGGCCTCCATATCCCAACGAGGTAACATGTACATATTTGTTCTTCAGACCACTGCAATTGCTCCTTTTGTTTCTCTGGATGTAGGGAGTATAAAAGGCAGATTTAGCGATAATGGTTTCCTCATGACCGAACAGAAGAAGTTGGTTGTGTTTTATCCTTGGGAACCCACCAGTGTTGAAGAACTAGAAAAGTCGCTCACCTTGACCTCTCTGGCGGATGTTGTCTGAGGATACTTCGTTTCCTCCTAGATAAGGAGTGAATCAGGAAGAGGAAAAAATTAGAAGAATTTGACTAAAGTTGAAGTGATGTACAATTTAAAATGACTGGAGCACATACTGTCTATTCCTGTCATGTGTGAATTTTGACTGCTGGTTCAATGTAAAGATACCAACTGCAAAGCTTGCATATAATATATGTGATGCATGGAAAGTAAGACTTTTTCAGATAATGGGAAAAATATATCCTGTGTATAAAATGGGAGGGGTGAGTTGGTGCAAGAGAGCTAGTCTGAGCTCTCTGATTCGCATGAGATGAATTACTGCATTGTGAATTCATCTTAAATAAGAAGCAACAGAAATATGCACCTCCAGATTATGGTTGTAAAAATCCACATTTTTTCCAGTTTCAGTATGCTGAAAGTAGAAATTCACCTTATGACAACAGGAAGGTATGCTGGAGGGAGGGGCAGGGAGTGAAGCTGGGACCACCTCTGTAGGTATGCCCCCACTTGGTGTGGTTTCATCTGTCTACAGCCATATTGGGAACACTAATCCTACTCTTTCAGATCTATAGCTGTCACTCCATCAGATGTCCTGTCTGCCTCCTGCAAGGTAGGCTTCCAAACAGACATGAAACCTGGGTTGTCTAGTCAGGCATCAGGCAGATCTGGTCCCCCTTCTGAAAGGGGAATTGAGTATGAGACTTGTTTTCTTCTTTCTTCTCATGCAACATTGAGCAATAACCTTGAGAGCTCTGCATCTTGCTTTGTCTCTTCCCAGAGAGCTGCAGGGGCAGTCACAAACATTTTGCTGCTGCATAGGATCCTGCATAATGTGGCATAGTGCAAGATATGTCTGGCTGTGGGAAAAGGAACGGGTTGAAGAGCTGACCAGGGGCACAAAGAGAAAGGAGACAATACAGAGAAGAAGTGGTCGTGTGAGAGGACCACAGAGTTAAAGTGGCTCCTTTTTCTCCAGTACATGCATAATGCAGGGGCTGCTGTTCTCACTCAGACATCACTGTGAAGTTGTGTTATCTCCTGGCATTCCTCATGAATGTCCTTGTGCTCCACACTGATCTTCCTCTCCTTCCAGAGGAGAAGTTGGCTTAACTTTGTTTATCGAGCAAATAGTGTCATAGTTCTGTGGGGTTGTTTTGTTTTGTTCTCTCTTGTGTATGTGTGCTACCTTTAAAATATGGACATCGGCAAAGGAAAACTTCAACATCTTAATTTTGCTTCTTTGTGTGTGGATTCCCTATAGAAGACACTGTTGACTCATTAGATCTGCTGGCACATTGAACTCCTTAGTCCATACAAAGTAATGGTGCTTCACCTTCTATTCTGTTTCAGAGAAAGTTATTTTAAAAATATTTAGGTTTCCCATAGAAATTACATCTCTTGTTGGCATTTGATAAAAAGAAAATAAGTTTGCTACAACATGGAGGGGTTGCTGTAGCCTGTGGAGCTGAAAGGCTGAGGGTTTGGTTGTCAGGGAATCCAGGCCACTGAGCCATGCTGTGGACAGGTTGCTAAACGTGGGGCTTGTCTGTTAGATGTTGTTTGAAATGCAGCTGGGATCTTGATGGAGTTCCACAAGGATCCATTCACAGTCCAAGCAAGTATTAATTTTCTTGCAAAGCACCCAGCAGAATGGGCACTTTACAGTAGAAGGGAGTTTGGACAGGCTCTACCGGTGATGTTCACCTTCGTAGTGAAAGCTCCACAAGAGTGATACTTACTGATGGTGTTGGGGGCCAGAGCATGTGTGGGGAGAGCCACTGCATGTTCCATTGGTCAGTCAGAGAACTTGGAACTGGGGGTTTGTGCTGGTTTTGGCTGGGACAGTTAATTTTCTTCATAGTAGCTGGTATGGGGCTGTTTGGATCTGTGCTGGAAACAGTGTTGATACCACAGGGATGTTTTAGTTATTTCTGAGCAGTGCACACAGAGTCAAGGCCTTTTCTGCTTCTCACACCACCCCACCAGTGAGCAGGGTGGGGATGCAGAGGAAGCTGGGAGGGGACACAGCAGGGACAGCTGACCCCAACTGACCAAAGGGAGATCCCACATTATATGACATCATGCTCAGGATGCAAAGCTGAGGGAAGAAGAAGAAAGGGGGAAATGTTTGAAGTGATGGCACTTGTGTTCCCAAGTAACTGTTACGTGTGATGGAGCCCGGCTCTCCTGCAGATGGATGAACACCTGCCTGCCCATGGGAAGCAGTGAATGAATTCCTTGTTTTGCCTTGCTTGCACACACGGCTTTTGCTTTGCCTGTTAAACTGTTTTCATCTCAACCCACGAGTTTTCTCACTTTTACCCTCCTGATTCTCTCCCCCATCCCACTGGGGGAGTGAGTGAGCGACTGTGTGGTGCTTAGTTGCTGGCTGGGGTTAAACCACAACAGGGTTGCTTGCTTGTAGTGATCACAGTTTTAACAGGCAAAGAGCTGAGCATACTGACTGATGCTTGGTGATCTCTGGTGCTTTTTGAATTGGGCGTTAACAAAAACTGACGTACTCCTGACCAAGAGGAGAAACTTAAAGATGAAAAGGAAATGATAAATGGAAGCTGCTTACAAATGCTTTATTAGGTCACCAAAACAACTTAACTGCAGTTGCATAGGAGGGCTTTTCTGATTCCAAATTTGTCTTAGTTGAAAGAAAACATGAAAGTAATCAAAATATATGTATGTGCCAATGTTTATAGGTTATATAAGATAAATAGGGAAAATGATTGTCATTAATAAAACTTAACAGTTAGAAAATGCAGACATTGATAAAGGAACTTAAAAGTTATTCAAGAGGCATCCTGGGACAAAAATACAAGAAAAATCCTTCTGTTTTTTCCATGTCCTGGAATCAAAGCAGCAACAGAGTCAATATAAGGCAAGAATGGAAAAATGTGGAGAAAATATGGAATAAATACGATTAATAAATATCGCTGCAGTGTATTAGGGAAAGGGCCATTTGGTTTATGTCTTTCTCTTACATTGACTTAGAAATGTCTCTTCCAGCAACATCTAGATAGATTTCAAAATGGCAGATAATAGTGTTAAATAAGTAAAACTTTGATAGAATTACTTGTTTCAAAGAAAATGAAGAGAACCATCTTTGTTCTTGGTGTATCTCAAAATATGAGTGAAGTTTCAGAGTTGTAGAAAATAGCTTTTAGATCACTAGAAACCATAAATAATGAATTTTGATAATGGTGACCTTGTTTAGCCTGTCATGAATTTTAGGCAAAATCATGAAAGAAATGATATGGCCCATAATCAATAATTGATGAAGTGGCTATGCAACTAATGCCTATCAGCACTACTATGCAGAAGAGCATTCTTTTATAAAATATTTTTTTGCTGTTGCTTTCTGCAGTTACCAGATTGGCATAAAAAAGTTCAGACAATTTATTAATTATTGTTATTTTTGGAGGTCAGGAGCTCCCTAAAGAGAGGGTCCATTCTTTCTCACTAGAAAGCTTTAATTCAGCACTAGGTGCTGTTATGAAAGATTAGCAATTGCTTAAGCCAAATGCTTGAGCTCAAAACCAAATTTAATGGGGGAAGTTAATTTCCATTATTGTTTTAATATCCTTAATATGTTCTTTTGGTTTCCTGGTGTTGTAGTAGGTATGTATTTATAGATATTATTTTCTTCTCTGCCCACGTGCAGTAGTGGCTGTAACATGTACCTTGGTTAACCATTTCCCCTTGGTACTTTTGTTATTACATGCTGTGCTGTCCTTGGTTACATTGTTCTGCCTTTGTCTCAGATCAGGGCAAAGGCAGTAATGCAACAGTGAAGAGATCTTCAGAGTATCCCTGGCTCCTATCTACACACCCATCTGTAGCCATCTGAGTGTTGTTGCAGCTCTGGGCAGCACCTCTCTTGCCAGCTGTAGGGATGGGCTGGGGATCAGCTGCAGGAGCATGAGGAAGAGCATTTAGTAAGTGTCATGGTGCTTGTCCTCAGGGTCATTAAATTATTGGTGGCAACAGTAGAGGGGAATGGCCCCATCGGTATTCTTTCAGGGTGCAGCCTTGCAGTGTTTTGTTAAGGGATCACTGAGTTTGCTTGTGCTGATGGCTTCTGTTTGCTCTCAGGCTCCCTCTCGGTGATTCTCCACAAATGGCAAAAGCAGCAGTCAGAGCTGCCCTCAGCAGGAGCAAGTGTCCTACAGAGAAGAACAGAACTTGAGAGCAGGTTTGGCTAATTCTTTGTCCTAAAACTGGTCTCTGGTAGATTTGGCTCTGAAGCCATTCAGGACCTGCAGAGACCACTTTGAGCTTTAGAGGGCACCTCTTTGGTGGTACTTTCTGCCACACAAGGAAGACTTATTTTGCTCCAGTTTACTGGAGCACTTTCTTGGAAGATTTTCCAAGTTCTTCTACATCTTGTCCAGGTGAACGCATCTAAAATTCCTCTCTAATTAAGTGTTCGTAGCTCTTTGTCAGTCTTTGTTGTTACCTGGTGTTTACATACCTTGAGGCCTGGACAATTTTTCTGCCTTAGAGGTACATCTGTCTTCAGTACTTTCACTTTTATTAGTTGTCTTTTGTTTTTGGACATGTGTAGCAGAGACTACTTCACTGACCTGTAGCAGTGTCAGGTGCAGAGGAACAGGCCAGTGAGTTGATTATTCTCAGTAAAGGACAGTTTGGTTTTGTACCTTACAAGGCAGCCTTTATGTTGTCAGAATCAGAGTTTTCTTTCTTACCCTCTGAGGGGTAGGTTGAGTCATCCAGAAACTCGTGGTTTGAATGTTTAACGACATGTTCCAGTCAAGGAATCGGGTTTACATAACTCTGCTTTCCAGTCAGACCTCACAAGATAGTGAAATGAAACCCCCATTTAGTTTAATTAGGGTGGAAAAACAAAACTTAAGTGAAAAATACAAAAGCTTAAAATTACTTGGTGTTGTCCCTGCCAACACTGAGGAAAGGCCATCTTAATGTAGAAAACAGTTGGTTTATAAAGACCTGTAAACATCAGTTTTGATTCTTAGT